AGCCGTTGTGTATAGGGGGAGCATCTGAGCACTTCCCAGCATGCAATGCTTGGGCTTGAGCGTCTTATTGCCAGGCCCGAACACTGTCACTAGACTAGGAGCAAGACGTCATCAACTCTGTTTAAAAAGTACCTGCAGTCATCTGCCCATTCAGGGTGCTGATAGTGTACCCACCTCTATTGGAGCTTCTTTGCTTCCTTCTTTGAGTAGCCAGTTTTTAAATGTGAACACTGTCGCATCAGTGCAGGGGCCGTGACATCATCCATCTGGGTAGGCTATGACACCATCTTATGCCAGAGCTTCCTCCTCAGGGTGGACTCCTACAACAGGAAGCATCAGTAGGTAAGTATACATTGTTGGGGGGTGGGGGTGGTATCTGCAGACCCTATCGTTGTAAGTTATGAGGAATTTGCATGGTTGATGTCTACACACCTATCACTTTAAATTTAAAGCTGAACTCCGGGTACGCAAACCTTGATTTCAATATATTTCTTAAGGCCTCATTCACAGAGCGGTAAGTTGGGCCGCACACATAATCGGGCCATTCCCGGGAGGGACAGGTGCTGCGTGTAGCAACCTGTTCTTCCCTATGGGAGGACGCGGCCGTACACACACCCAAGCTGCACATCCGTGTGGGTCCGGGTGTCCGTACTGGGACGCAGACAGGATGGGACCACTAAGAGGCTGACAGTTTCCCCATCAGGGTAAAGAGTCTCATTCAGTAAACATAGCAGACTCAGGCTGTGATTAGAATAGATATCAGTGATTAGTGACAAGTGACCTTCGTAAATCCACTCCGCCGGAGACTCAGCAGAGTGGACGTCCAGAAGTCCGTTTGCAATCCGTATATACAGCGGTTCCTGTTTTTGCTGCTGTGATGGTCTCTGTCCCAGCATGCACTGCAAGTCAGTGAGTGACATCCGCTGTTGTAGAACTACAAGGCCTAGCATTCCCTGCAAGACTGAGAGTTGTGGTCTTGGTTCGGTTTATTTGTGCCAAGGTTCACTCATTGCAGAACCAGACTTGGCCAATGCTAAGCCCTCCATGGAGTGCTGCCAGCATTGTGCAGGGACACGGGGGGTAAATATCAAAACTGGAGCAGACAAAGTCTGGAGTAGCTGTGCATGGGAACCAATCAGCTTCTCTCTTCAGCTTGTTCACTAAAGATTTGAAAAAGAAAGAGAGAAGCTGATTGGTTGCCATGCACAGCTGTTCCAGATTTTGTCTACTCCAGTTTTGATAAATTCCCTTCTATGTGTTCCTGAACCGAAAGCTTCATTCACACTGGAGCGGTTATCCTTGCGTATTCGGCCGGCTGAATACACGCGGAGCTACTCTAAACAACGCACTTTTAATGTGCAATTTTGGACTTTTGCGCGCGGCCGCGCGGTACGAAACCGCACGGCCTTCAGAATATTCCAAGCGCAATTTTTGGACAGATTCCGCACGTTCGCAGCTGTGTTTAGATGCAAATGGGCAGAATCCATGCGTCCGTTTCATCCATGAAAGATTTTAGCAATTGCGTGCTGCACGGTCTTCAAATGCTGACGCTATATGTTAATGGAGCCATAAGTGTAGCTCCACACAGATGAAGAAGAAGAGGAGAGAGCAGCAGTGAGCGGTCTTTATTACAGGAGCGGGTGGAGACCAGTCACCCTACACAAGAGGAGAGAGCAGCAGGGAGCGGTCTTTATTACAGGAGGGGGGTACGAGACAAGACCAGTCACCCTGCACAAGCAGAGACAGCAGCAGTGACCGGTCTTTATTAACAAGAAGGGGCGGAGACAATTATTGCAGGAAACTCTTCCTTGAATCTTGTTGATCTTTGTGTATTTCTTCCAGATCTGTGCAGTAATCCAGTGTGAGACTTGGAGCTTCCTGTAATAAAGACTGCTCGCTGCCTCTCTCTCTCTCCTTGTGCAGGGTGACTGGTCTTGCCCCCGCCCCTTCCTGTAATAAAGCTCCAAGTGTCACACTGGATTACTGCAAAGATCAGCAAGATTTAAGAATGCACATGACTCTTGTATGAGGGCAATATTTCCTTATCCCGGAGTTCGGCTTTAAAAGTATAAACCTCCACTGGTAATTATATACAGAGTAGGCAAAATCTCTTGTTTGAGTTCAAAATAAAAGATACAGGTCCGAAATGAGCAGGCATGCTGGGACTTGTAGTTCCACAGCTACTGGAGAGCTGTATCCTACCTCCCATTTAGCTAATGGTTATCTCGCTACCAAAAGTTCTGCCAAGCCTTTCAGCCTCCGGATTAATATTCCAATGTAATATACAATTCACTCTGGGCTCAGCCATTCATAAGAAGAATTGTTTGGAATGTGTAGGCAGAGAGCCATTGCCCGATCACCTGACTCCATGCCGCTACAGGGATTTAAATGGAGGGTCGGAATTAATGGCGGGTTCGAATTGGCGGGTCGGGACTTGCAGATTTTTCACAGCAGACTACTCGGCAACGTTACCGCCATATTGAGGATTAAAAAAGGAAAAGGCGTCCCCTACTTTGTTTTACTCTGCACTCCAACACTGCGATCACATGCTTCACACGTGGCAGATGCGCTTTTTCAATTCGCAGTGTCACTGATTGCGTTCCACCTCAACGCCATTTTTCACCCCCCCCCCACTGCTTGCTCTCTAGTCGACACCGGTCAGCTGACAGGTACGTTTTGCCCTCAGCCACCATAAGCGAGAGGCAGGAGGGGGGTAGTGGATGCCGATAGTATAGTCCGTGCTATAGAGACACACAGCTGCCAGTCAGTCGGCTTTGCACTCTCAATAAGCCATTTTCAGCAAAGCGTCACGCAGACACGCGCGCGTCGCCACCATTGCAGAAGCCAAGGTGGCCATCTTTCACTGTCCACCTTTCCTGTAGGCAGGTATATGTGTCCTTTTGCATGCCATACATGTGTGCCCGTGCGTTCGGTTATGTGTGTGTCATTTTGCAGAGCACGTCTTCGTGTTAATAATAACACGCGCCCCCCGTCATACGTGCCGTGCTGTGTTCATAGCCATCCAGCTTTTAACCGTTGGATGGCCGCCGCTGCTAGCGTTTCCACCTTGCTTGGCATGTACGAGGATCTGGGGGAGGGGAGCCTATCTCTGCGTGCTAACATGCCTGCACTTGTCCTTCTCACGCCGTGTCTCGGCTCTCATCGGTGGGCGTTAATGTCTGGATATCTATTTATAGTGGGCGCTGATGAAGGAACCGATTTACACCTTGTTAAAGGGGAATCCCGTTTATTGCCGCGTCGCTATAAGCAAAAGGTGCCCGTGCTGCCGCAGTGTCATACGTGTGATTTGTGTTGATCCTTGTGACGTATTTATATGGCACTGGCGTTTATTGTGCAGCGGTTGACGGAGGACATTGAAGCGTTTGGCTCAGTCCCTGCCCCCGAAGGAGCTTACAGTCTATTGTCCCTGCCACGGTCGTACATGCACACCGCGCAGTGCCAGGTTTGCTTGCACAGAGGCGGGCGATGACAGTTGGCCGATCTAACCGAGGGGCGAGGACGATCAGGCGAGTTAGAAAACCAGCACCGATCTCTAACCTCCCCCTCCTCTCCAGGGAAGCTTGTCGGGGAAGACGGCATCCTTGGAAGGACTCTCGTAACGATCGCTCTCCCATACACATATAATAGATCGTCGCAGCTCGGATTTGCCTTTCTAGGTACTCCGGGCTCTCTGCAGCAGCTGGTCATGTGACCAACATTGGTTATGTGGTCTTTGCCACAGAGGCTAAGGGGCTGATGTTTGCACAGAGCCGACCGATCAGCGGCTGGAATATTGAAAAAGTCACCTGCGCTCCAAGGTCAAATGTGCTGAATGTCCTTTTTATTAAGACACTGGGCAAACACAGTGCAATAAGCAACTAGGGATGCACCGATACCGGTACTAGTAGCGGTATTGATGCCGAGTATTTGGGCGAGCACTCGTCCTCACACAAATGCTCCGATACCTAGCCTGATACTTGAGCTTCCGGTATCAGGAAGCCGGGCAGCGAGTCATTACACGCCGCCCGGCTTCCTGATTGGCTAGGAAGCCGGCTCCATGCTCCATCGTCACCAGGGAGCATGGAGCTGGCTTCCCTGCCAATCTGGAAGCCGGGCAGTGTGTGATGACTTGCTGCCCGGCTTCCCGGTTGGTCGCGGAGCTGGCCAGTCAGGAAGCCGGGTGCCGTGCAATGACGCGGCGCTCGGCTTTCTGATTGGCCGGGAAGCTGGCTCCATGCTTGAGACGGTTTCCCTGCTAATCAGGAAGCTGGGTGGCGAGTCTTTACACCCCGCCCGGCTAATCAGGAAGCCAGGAGGCAAGTAATTACACACCGCCCGGCTTCCTTAATGTGACTTCCGGTATCGGTATTCGGTATCGGCGAGTACTGGGAAAAGAAAATATCGGTACTCGCTACCGAAAAAAGTGGTATCGGTGCATCCCTATAAGCAACGTCTCGGAAATGAACATGGTCCCTTCATGACCGTGATTTGCACGGTGCCATCCGCAGGTCATACCAGCTCCCACTTGTTGTTCTATGGAATTCCGGTCAGGAGTGCAGTAGATTAATTACAACACACCCCCCTCCCCCATTGGAAGTTGGGGCATTTTCGGTCAGGAGTGCGATGGGATCCCCTACATGAATGCTGATCACAACACGTATGCTTTAAAAGCAGGTAGGATGTTTACCACGTTCGAGTGATGTCACCCACTGGTCCGATCTGACACGCAGTGCTCGTCTTAATACAAAAGCGATGCGTGTCTCTCCTGCACAGCATTCCAATGAATGGAGCTAGCTTTCCTCCTGTCACATAAGCATGGGGAGAGCGATCATCTTCCAAAAATGCATTGCTTTCTTCTGTAGGCACTTCCCTCTACCTTAATTTGTGTGTGTGTGTTTTGCAGTGAATTATTTCTTCAACCTCTTTGCTATTATTAATTGCCTGTGGCCTCTTGGTGTTCATGCCTTTTTCTTTTTTTTTTCTTCTCGCCTTTGAAACAGGTGCCGTCTTTTTAAGAGAGAAAGCCCGAAGATGAAACCAGTAAAGAAATCTCCAGGCCCAGGGAACAGCAAAGTGTCGAGCTCCACCCGCAGTAAGAAACAGAAGAGAAAGGTGGAGGAAGGGAGGCAGGAGGAAGAAGAGCAGGAGGAGGAGGAGGCTGCAGAGGAAGAGACATCTGAGGAGGTAGACGAAGGCTCAGGACATCACTTGGCATATGTAGGGGCAAGGAGGATGCAGGTGAAAGTTGAACCTGCAACAGCAGAGATGGAAGGTGCCCGGGTACAAGAACAAGACCAGCCAGGATGTAATTCGCAGCAAATGACGGAGGCTGAAACACAGGAAGAGAAACCTCAGATATGCATTGAAACGTCCAACAATGAGCATGTGATGAGTAAAGTAGTATATGAATCGCCCCGCTGGGAGATGCCTTTGAGTAGGAAAACTGCCACCTTTAAGTCTAAAGCTCCCAAGAGAAAATATGTGGAAGGCCAAGGCTCGCAAGAGGGACAAGAGGATTCTTCTAGCAGCAATGATGGCACATCTGCATCACAGGAACGTATTTCAGAGCAGTCTGTAGCCGCTCCCATTGAAGCAGAAGACATCCCTTCTGTGCGGTCCTCCTCTACAGATACAGCCAGCGAGCATTCTGCAGACTTGGAAGAAGAGTCGGAGAAAGTCCAAACTGAGCTAGAGACACCAGCATTGTCCTGGCCTGAAATTGACATTAGCGGTCACCTGCAGCCCCAGAGAGTCCTGGCACGTAAGGACGATGCCTTCTACCTTTGCCAAGTAAAACAAGTCCGTCGGAACCATGAACTCGGAGTGTTGTTTCCAGGGACACAGACAATCACATTCCTGGACATCATGCAGGAACCGGTACTTCTGGATCAGATCCCATCAGCAAATCAAGTACACGTGGGATCAGCAGTGTGTGCCTGTGTGGGACCCGACAATACAACTTTCCGAGAGGGAACTGTAGTAGAAATAGTTGAGAATCCTTTGTCTTACAAGGTTTGCTTTCAACAGAGCCCAGGACGTAGGGAACGTGACTATGGCTGGGTCCCTCACAACAGTATTCGACTTATCTGCTTCCCTTGGTGTAAAGAACCAGTTCTGGTAGTTCCACGAGCAGTAGAGGAGAAGCCACAACAGCCAATGAGTAGATTTCCAGCAGCCCATACTTCAGATCAGCAGTCAGGCGGCACGGTTGAGATGCCAGCATCTCCACGTGGGTTAGAACCAAAACACCTGGAGGATGCTGAGGTCTCCAAGATCAGTTTTAGCATGCCAGTAAGTGAAGAGAAATTGGCATCTGTGCAACACTGTATCCTTTCGCCTCCAAAGTCACCTGCCTATGGAATGATAATGGGGCGGTTGCCGGAGCAGCCATCCCCGTTGCTTAGCCCAGATGCCGGAAGTCGGAGCAGCTGTAGTAGTGTATCTTTGGATAAATGCAGCACTCCAGGGTCCCGTTCTCGCACGCCGCTCACAGCAGCCCAGCAGAAGTACAAAAAGGGAGACGTAGTTTGCACCCCTAATGGTATTCGTAAGAAGTTTAATGGAAAGCAGTGGAGAAGACTGTGTTCCCGGGACGGCTGCATGAAAGAATCTCAGAGGAGAGGCTACTGTTCCAGACATTTGTCCATGAGAACCAAGGAGATGGAGAGCATGTCGGAGGGCCGGGGTGGCCGAGAAGGGAGTGCAGAGTTTGAATGGGATGATACATCTCGGGACAGTGAAGTAAGCAGCATACGCACAGACTCCCGTCCACGTCTCGTGGCCCCCACAGATCTCTCACGCTTTGATTTTGACGAGTGTGAAGCTGCCAACATGTTGGTGTCTTTGGGCAGCTCTCGCTCTGGAACCCCATCATTCTCCCCGGTTTCCAATCAGTCTCCTTTCTCCCCAACCCCATCCCCCTCCCCTTCTCCACTTTTTGGCTTTAGGCCAGCTAACTTCAGCCCCATCAATGCTTCCCCTGTCATTCAACGTGCTGCACGTAGTAGACATGTAAGCGCAAGTACCCCCAAGGGACAAGCAGTGTTGACCCCTGAGATGTTGCATCACTCTCACCACCGAGAGAGACAGTCGGCAGGAATCATGCCCTCGTTCCAGACCAACCTTACCTTTACAGTGCCCATGAGCCCAAGCAAGAGAAAACCAGATTCCCACCATGGCAGTGTCAGCTCTGCTGCCGACTTCCAGAAGAGCGACAGCTTGGACTCTGGGGTTGACTCTGTCTCCCATACACCAACACCGTCTACTCCTGCCGGATTCCGATCTGTGTCACCTGCCACCATTTTCTCCCGATCCCAACAGGCTTCTCCATCCCTGCTCCTGTCTCCTCCAGCTGGCCTTACCTCCGACCCTAGCCCTTCGGTCCGTAGAGTTCCTGCCGTACAGAGAGACTCTCCTGTTATTGTGAGGAACCCAGATGTCCCTCTTCCATCAAAGTTTGTAGAAAAGCCAACAGATGTAGGACCCCGTGGTATTGGTGCAACAGGGGCTGGAACGGGCAGTCCTCGGCGTATGGTTAAAGTCTGTTCCAAGGAACATCCTTCTAAGACACAGCTGCAGATACCAGTACCCATCAATGCCACCCAGATACAGAATGTGGCACGATCCTTACCTTCTGGGCCAACAAGCACTGGAGAGTTGGCTACCTGCACATCTTCAGGTCCTACAGATCATCTTCCAACCATTTTTAGTGTGTCATCACCATTCCAGCCTGTGGCGTTCCATCCATCCCCTGCGGCCCTGCTCCCAGTGATTGTGCCCAGCGACTACAGCAGCCATCCTGCCCCTAAAAAGGAGATCATCATGGGAAGGCCTGGCACAGGTAAGGGATGACTTTATTGATTTTATGGTACATATATGAAGGAGTTTAGGATGTGATTTTTGTGATTCAAAGTAGGGATGCACCGATACCGGTTTTTCGGCATCGAGTATGAGTACTGATATTTTTTTTTCGGTACTTGCCGATTACCGGACGTCCCATTGAGGAAGCCAGGCGGCGTGTATTGACTCCCCACCTGGCTTCCAGATTAGCCAGGACGCTGGGCGGCGTGTAAAGACTCGCCACCCGGCTTCCTGATTGACAGGGAAGCCGTTTCCATGCTCCCTCATCACCAGGTGATGAGAAAGCATGGAGCCGGCTTTCTGGCCAATCAGGAAGCCGGGCGCCGTGTAATGACTCATTGCCCAGCTTCCTGATTGGTGGAGAAGCTTGCCAATCAGGAAGCCGCGCAACGCGCCATTACACGGCGCCCGGCTTCCTGATTGGCCGTGAAGCCGGCTCCATGCTCCCTCGTCACCGGGGGACGAGGGAGCATTAAGCCGGCTTTCTTGCCAATAATAGAGCCAGGGTGTCGTGTAATGACTCGCCGTCTGGCTTCCTGATTGGTTGGGAAGCTGGCCAATCATTAAGCTAGGCGGCGAGGCGAGTCATTACACGCTGCACGGCTTCCTAATTGGTCGGGAGGCCGGCTCCATGCTCCCTCGTCACTTGGCATCGGCACCGATACTAGTATCGGTGCGTCCCTAATTCGAAGGTAAGGTCATGCCCCAGCAGTACCATTGTTCAAACAATCTGAAAGAAGAACTGGCTATAGTACCACCAAACCAGTTATTCTAAAATACTCATTCTCCAACTGTTTTCAAGTGAAAGCTTAAATCTAATTGGCTTTCAGGCTATAAATGTGGTTTATTATTATTATTTCTTTCAGTCACTTTTATAAATAAGCAGAGACGGTTCTTATGTCAGGCATTTCACAAATGTGTTAAAGTCGCAGTTCTTGGTAACCAATCTGGAAACCGCCTTCATCACCCGTCTTCATTATGAATGGTTGAAAGCTGACCTATTAGTTGCTGTAGGCCACTGCCACCATCGGCTTGATGAACCATATTCACACGCTGTACAAAAGAATGCGGACACCCCTCCAAATACTGAGTTCAGGTGTTTCTGGTGAAGTGTACGGTTATTGGTACAGCATGCAAAAACATATTAGACAGTTGTGCCCATTCAGCCTTGGGGCCCGAACGGAGAACTGACCCTCGGCCTTTTGGACATCTTTGGGTTGAATCGATATGCCGATTGTGAGTCAGGTCTTCTAAAATGATCTTTTAGCTATTTATGCACAAATTCCCACAGACGCACTCCAAAATTTTGTAAAATGCCTTCTTAGAATAGTGGAGGCTGGTATAGGGTGGGCCAGCTTCATATTAGTGTCCATCGTTTTGGAATGTGATGGCCAAGAAGATCAGAAGGGTCTTAGGATCTGGTCTCCACAACCTTTTGGCCATGTGTTGCCCATGTTGTTTTGTTACTAGATGGAATGGATTTTCTCAGCTGATCTGTCTTTGAGTGGGATTTGCGACATGTTTCTCGTACGTGTGTTACGTAATCGTGAATCAGTAGCTTAACACGCTGCAAGTTTTAGCCTTTTGACCTGTACCAGCCCTTTGTTATGACTGTTTGTATTGGAATGATTGTGCAGGTACTTCACGACTTTACTGATGTCTAGTGAACTTGAGCTGGTTTTCATCCATTCACGCTACAAGAAAAAGAAGTATCGGTCTTCGCTGACAAGGACACTCTGACACAGTAGCTTCCTTGGAGATTTCACTGTATTATCTCTATCACGCTTTACGTGTTTGCAGTGTTCTTCTGGTTTTACAGTTCTCTGAGAATGGTTCTTGGAGAGTAATTGAAGAGTTTCATAGCTGCTTGTTATCTCCAACAGACTTGACTCTCCAGCAGGAAAGGAGGGAGCAAGGAGAGGTAGTCGCTGTCCACGTTCTTTTTTTAGTTATGAAGTGTTCAGGCTAATTTGGAAGGAAAGATCTCCACTAATGACACCACTGAGCTCCTAATTTATTCTCGTTATCTCTCTCCTCGTCAACTCCTGTCTTGTTGGCCTACCTTTACCTAGGCTATCCCCCCTTCAGTTTATCATGAATGTTGCTGCCAGACTTAGTCACCTTAACCAACCAATCAGTGTCCACCGCCCCCTCTCTGCCAATTCCTATACTGGCTTCCATCCCCTGCCCCTCTCTGCCAATACCTTACACTGGCTTTCATCCCCTGCCCCTCTCTGTCAATACCTCCACTGGCTTCCATCCCCCATCCCTCTCTGCAAATCCCTCCACTGGCTTCCATGCCTCATCCCTCTCTGCCAATCCCTCCACTGGCTTCCATCCCCTGCCCCTCTTTGCCAATACCTCCACTGGCTTCCATCCCCTGCCCCTCTCTGCCAATCCCTCCACTGGCTTCCATCCCCTGCCCCTCTCTGCCAATACCTCCACTGGCTTCCATCCTTCGCCTTTCTATGCCAGTCCCTCCACCATCTTCCATCCTCTGCCCCTCTCTGCTAATTCCTGCACTGGCTTCCTTCCCTCGACTCTCTCTGCCAATCCCTTAACTGGCATTCATTCTTCGCCTCTCTCTGCTAATCCCTCCACTGGCTTCTATGCCTCATCCCTCTCTGCCAATCCCTCCACTGGCTTCCATCCCCTGCCCCTCTCTGCCAATCCCTCCACTGGCTTCCATCCCTCCTCCCTTTCTGCCAATCCCTCCACTGGCTTCCATCCTTTGCCCCTCTGCCAATTCCATTAGTGTTCCTTTCCTTGTCCCGCTCTGTCAATCCTTCCACTGTCTTTCAGTCGCTCAAAAAATACATTTCAAAATATTTAAAACAACATACAAAGCCATCTACAACTCTGCCGCCGGCTAGATCTCCAACCTTGCAACCTTGTCACCAAATAACACCCACACCCTTCCAAGGCCTTCTGCTCTCTATCTCCCACATCACCTCCTCCAATTCTGCCCTTCAGGACTTCTCCAGAGTTGCTCCCATGCCCTAGACCAGTGTGTAACCTCAGGATCCACATTTGTCTTTGGCCATTAACCGCGACCCAAGTCGCACTGCAATGGAAGGCATGGCATTGCGGTACTGGGCGTTCTGGTGCGGGCGATCGAACTTTGGTTGGGAGGTGCGTTTGGGATACTATTCAAATGAATGGCAACGCAACACACCTCCCACACCAGAAGGCGTAGTAGGTGTGATTGTGGGACTTTGAGATTAATGCACTGTACTAGTATGACCGGGCCCTCAAAAACACTGCCAGATACATACAACCACAGACGCAATCTCACACACTCATACACACTCCAGAACAATTTTAAATTAATTTTTTTTAAGGTCCACCTAGTGTCCCCTACCTTTACGAGAAGTGGAGCGGATCCTCAGCCCGGGGTCTAGCGTGGGCTGCTGTGCAGTAATGGAGTCCCATCAATATGTTCATTGCTTGTACAGCTCCCTCATGTGCCCTGAAGAGGTGCCGGGAGCCAGAATGTGATGTCACTCCGGTGCTGGCACCTCTACAGGGCACGTGAGGGAGCTGTAAACAATGCACGTATGGATGGAGCTCCCTTTGCGTCCATACCCCCTGCCCACTCCACCTCAAGCTGACACTCGGCACCGGGCAGCATATTTTGAATGGCTGCTTGGCATGAGAACTAACAGTACTGCACTAGGGGGAGGCTGAGGAGTCCCGCCTAGAAAATTGGAAGGCATGCGGTGGCCCACTGACCACGACCCACTTTTGGGTCAGGACCCACCAGTTGAGAACCAAGGCTCCAGAACACCCTACCTCAATCTGTCCAGCTATCTCCTACACTGTCTGCCAATACCCATAACTCATCTCTTCAGGGAAGTGTATCCCATCTCTACCTAAATTCTAAACCTTACTTTCTGCATTGATTCATCCCCTCACAGTTATTATCTTTTGTATCACTTCACTTACTCCCTTTTAGATTGGAAACTCCCCTGAGCAGGGCCCACCTAAGGTTGGCCATACACTGCTCGGCATACTCCTGACTGGGCCAAAATTCGAGCAGTGCGTGGCTCCCTAATGAAGCATTGTCTCTTACATCTCCCCAAACCCAAACCACCTTACTGAAATCATGTTTCTTGATCTTCGTAGTTGTGTTTGGAATTTAGCATGGCTCTGTCCACACAGCAGCATCATCCATTCAGCAGGGCCGTGTTGTCGTCCAATCACAACTTCCTCTGGGCCCCATAAAAGGGGTCCGTACATCTGTACATACCCGGGGGTAGACAATGTAAAATGCCTTTTGCGTTACACCCATGATGCACAGGTCGCAGGTGCAATGCTCTGCAGACCTGAATGCAAAAACATCATCCAATTCACATGTTTGTTTTATTATTGTTGGTGCATTCAATACATTTTTCTTTTTAAATGTCGACTGTGCCTTTTAAGGATTACAGAACTGTGTTAATTGGTGTCTTTTAAATCTGCTTCAGATTCGTTTGAATTAATTATGACATTTATTTATACATAGCGCTAGTATAACTACCCCTTAATGCGACTTTATCTTCCAACAATCCCCAGCAAACCCCCCCCCCCCCCAAAAAAAAAACCCCCCCCCCCCAAAAAAAACAACAAAAACGGGTTAAATGTAGGGATGGGGTTAAATGTAGGGATAGGGTTATGTGCTGTGAACCGCGTCAGGCCGCATTTCACATTGCCGTGATTCTAATGTTTTCAGGCACCGGGAGCTGAGTAAGTGTTCTTTATTATTGGTATTTATATAATGCTGACAATTTACACAACGCTCTACATTGTGCGCATTCATATCAGTCCCTGCCCTTAAGGAGCTTACAATCTAAGGTCGCTCCCTATATCACATGCATACATATAAGGGCAGGAGCCAATTAACCTTCCAGCATGTGTCTGGAGTGTAGGAGGAAACACGGAGTACACGGAGGAAAGCTGCACAGGGAGAAGATGCAATCTCCATGCAGATAGTGTCCTGAC